AGACTTGCCTCAAAGAACTCACGTTCTCCGAGACAAAAAGAAATAACCTAGACTACAAAAATAATCAGAAATAAAAATAAAACCGTTTCCCCGGCAACGACGCCAAATTTTGGCAGGGTAAAGTCGTATCCCCTAATCAAAAGTAATTCCTAAATCCTCTAACTAATGTAGATAGGGAAGTAGGGTCGAATCCACAAAGAAACGAGTCTTTCTATTCCTGATTAATTAAAGTAATCTAAATTATAAAGTAACCAATATGTAAAATTGGATAATAAACTAAACTACGGAGATTAAGAATAAGGAGAAAATAATATATAAAAGGATCTAGGGCATAGGTTCACCAATAAATAATATTTCAGGATAAAACATAATAATCAATCATCAATGCATACATTAATCAGATCATAAAGGGCTTTCGCTACGTATTACAATCACACAATTAATTTACCGGTATTAAATCTCATCTCTCGAATCTCGACTTAAATATTTATAAATTAACCTACCTATTGAAACTAGACCTAAACATCAATTCTCATGTGTCGAATCTCGAATCAATATTGTTAAACTCATGCATAAAAGATCTGCGCAAATCTAGTCACAGAGCATTAAATCAATCAATAGGAAATTAATCTAGCATTGACAATTAACAACAATAAATTACCCCTTCATATTTTTTGTGGATCCCCACAAACCCTAGAAATAAAACTACTCACTCATAATTAAATCTAAACTAATCAAGCAATAAATAAAACATGATCAAAGGAATAAAATAAATAACTAAGATTAAGAGAAGAGAAATCGTTACCAAAATAAATCTGGAATCAAGAATAGAGTTAAGAACAAAGTATAAGAGAGAGAAAACTATTCTAAAAGCTAAATAGAGAGAGAAAATCTAAGAAATAATTAAGAGAGAGTAAAAGAAGGTAAAAGAAGGTACTAAACTCGTTTTACGGAGAAGTATTTATACTCCGTAAGAATCCTAAACTAAAACAAACTTAAACGACAAAAATTAACTCCTAATAATAACACGCGCCTGATCGGGCGAGGCACCGCCCGATCGGGCGCGTCTTTTTCCTCTCAAGTACATTTCTCGTGCCCGGTCGGGCGCGACTTCGGGCGCTAGCCTTGCTTCCCTCGCCCGGCCGGGCGCGCCTCCGGGCGCCAGCCTCTTTGGCCGGGCGGCTCTCTTGGGCCACTATTTGGACTACGATTGGGCTCCAATTCTTCGAGTCAATCTGAATTTCCTCTTCGGGTCTTGAATACTTGGTCCAAATGCCCCGGTATCACATATACCGAGCCCTTAATCACCGGTTCGATGGCTCTAACCGGCCCTAGGCTATAGAAACTGGTCGTGCTTCTCCAATGCTCGTAGTTGCTCCCTAATATCTCGGGAAAATGCTCCAAAAGTGCAATTTCCTGCAAAACTCAACCAAAACTACGAAAACACTAGAAAACACCAATTAGTAATAAAAGTGGCTCAAAAGAGCCAAAAACACTACTAATTATGACCAAGGGACGGGGGTAAAATACTATATAAATTGGACATATCATGTTTTCTACGTAAATTGGGGGTCATATAAATTCTTTTTTGGCTTCTTTGGACCATATTCAATTTCCCATTGTCATTTCTCTTAGTTTGTAATTGTAGCACTTAAAAACTTTCTCAATTCAAATTATTGCTTAGAATTTAGTTCTTAGTTTTAGAAATTTCAATCTCAATTATTATAGAAGATAAATTCACCACTGTTATTAAAGGTTGAAGCTACTAGTAACTATTGCTTACTTTACTTTACTCTCTTCTCTCTACTCTATTTGGTCATTGCTTTCTTAATTGTTATATGCTCACTTTATTAGAACTCAATCTTATTATTAATTGAAGTACTTGAAATTGTTACTTGCTTTCTTCTGCATGGATAATAAGTAGTATAATTTCTAGGGTTTGGGTTAAATCTTTAACGTAGTCACAAATTACTTATCGCATGTGCTAATTTGGTTATTGTGGTGAAAAAAATTAGTTAATCTTAAGTGGTTTCATTGTTAGCCATTGATAGAGTTATTTATCCAAACTTTCTCAATGAAGAATGATTGAGATATGAAGTAGAGTTAGCTTCCTTATACTTAATTGACTTAAATGCCATTAGAATAAGAATCTCTAGTCAAAAGAATGTTCATGTGATCACAATTATGCTTTAACACTTGTTTTATGTTTTGTAACTAGAAGAGTAGGTTGAATTCATTCACGACTCAAGTAATCCCTCCAGAGTTGCGTGACTTATATGGCTTTCCCTAATTTATCCCCTATTTTACCTTATTGTACATTTAATTGTGGTATGTGATGAAGATAAGTTGTATAATTCGAGCCCTAGACTTCTTTATTAGTGTTAATTCCCCTTTAAGATCTTAGTTGACTTAAGCTAGTAGTTGATAATAGAAACCAACCCAAAACCTTTGACTTAATTTAGCTTATTTAAATGATAACGGTCGGTGAATGATAAAACGCCTCTCATGCGTTTGGTCTTTTCTTACCCTTGCTACTAGTTAGTAAGATCGAAATAGCTTTTAATATTTGATAGGTTGGGCCAGATTAGTTTCGGGTCAAGGTTTGTCGAGTGAGGGCCAGAGTTTTGAGTAGGGTCAACTTAAGATTAGTTCATATTTAGTTCGTATGAATTCGAATCGGGTTCAAAACGGGTTTGACATCCTTAATTTTAGGTTGGATAGCTTTGGGTCTGGTTGATTCAAGTATGGTGATTTTGATTCCATTAAGTTCAGTTTGATTAAGGTAAGGTGATTTAGTATTGGGTCAATTCTGATTTAGATCCTTTTAGTGTTTTGGCTGAATTTTGATCAAGTTGACTAAATTCACTATTCAAATAAGGACATTTTTAAACTAGGGTAATTATTGAGTTATTACCTTATTATTGGGTCAATATTAGGTTATTTATGTGTCAATTTTCATATTATATCATTATTAATCACGAAGTATTAATTTTTCATCCGATAAGTTCTTGTGTCATTTTTATCTTTAACCCAGGCCAAATTAAAAATGTATTATCGATGATTCATCATACATACACATAATTATATGACAGGATAAGTAATGATTTAATAGCCACATATGGTGATGTTGATTAGACACAAAAGAATTTCATCTTTTTAAGGTTATTAATACTTTTCAACCTAATAATAATTTCTTTAACAGGTTTACCAAAAAAAAACTCTTACGAGACTATATGAGCATTGTTAGTTTGCTATATCACTAATTCAATTTGTATATAAGATATACTAAGTTAGAATTCATAGGTTGAGTTTAGCATTATGGTTAGTTTGAATTCATATGTTTGGTTGAAATTATGGTTGGCTTAAAATCATGTTGGGTTGAATCGGATCGGGTTAAAAGAGATTAGATTGAATCGAGTATTTATCAGGTCAAATTCAGATCGGTTTGAGTTCAGGTTGGGTCAAAACCGTTCGGCTTAAGTTCAATTCAATTCGGGATGAGTTCAGGTCGGATCAAATTAGTGCCACTATGGGTTCGTTTTGGCATCATTTTCAGTTTTCAGTTTTTGTTTCTTCAAAACTGAAAACTAGTTTTAGTTTTTAATTTTTTGTTTTTAAAAACTGTTTTCATTTCTCAGTTTTGAGTTTACAATCAACTCTCATACTACCAAACATTTATAGCTTTAATCAACTCTTATACTACCTATAACTACTAATTTATTTTCAAAAAAAGAAATATACATATATTTCAATTTATTGATTATAAATGAATTTAAAAGAAAAGAGATCAAAGAGGAGAACACTCCAAACCTGTAATTGCTTGCTTCTTTAATCTAGAGAATGATTAAGGTTTGAGGAAGAAAGATGAAATATCGAATTTGAAGGAGAAACCATTGATGAAACAACCATAGCTTTGATAGGGTTTTTTTTTAATTATTTTTTAAAACAAAACCCCAAAAACTGTTTTGAGGTGTTTTAGGTTTACTATTGTAATTTTTACAAAATAGATGTAAAGTTGTTTTTTAAGTGATTTTACCAAACACTGTTTTATTTTAAGGGTAAAAACAAAAAAAAAAAAAACAAAAACAGCAATGATGTCAAACACAAAGGTGCTCAATTCATTTCCCGAGTTCTCCAATAATCCTCTATGGTCAAAGTTTGGTATTACAAAAGTCCATGCCAAATTTACCGCGGCACAACACAAACTCTCCCAAAAAGTGACAGTTTTACTGCGCTCTCCTCTCTCCCCCGAGAAATTCTTGGTCTCAAGTAGGTAGAGACCAAGGTGGTCTCTAGTAAGGTCATTCTCGTAATTTAAAAAAAATACCTTATCTGTAAGTACCAACAATATATATAGACAATACCATCCTGAGTAGTATCAAAATACCATCATATAACTCATTGGTATCATCATCATACTGCGGTTGGTATCATAAAATAACAAGTATTGTTGTTGGTATAAGTAGCTTTATAATTGGTATCCTAAGTAAAACTTTGTTGGTATCTAGCAGCGTTCGATTGGTATCAGTGCCATACGGTTAAAAGCTAAATTAAGGCATTAATAATTAAGTAAAACTGGAGAACACTAGGCCCTCTACTGAGTGTAAGAAACCTGATTTTAAGCATTATTATCATATTCCTAAAAATACTAATAATTTTTGCCCAGTCCTTAATTATATAGTAGATCAAATTGGCGAATTAAGATCGGAAGTTGACAACATACATGCTCGTTGTATTAATATAGAAAATAAGATATCAATAACCACAACCGACATTAATAAAAAAAGTAAGCGACCTAAACGAACAGGTTAAACAAGTTCAACTTGATTTAACAAACGAAGTTAGGCATCAATTTGGAAAAGAAGTATCACCTAATAAGGAGAAAATCGTCCCATATAAATATAAATATCCTTTTCAAAATCTAGATAAAAATAAAAAGTTTACTGTAACACTCGCTAAGAGACCTACTAGTAACCAAGAAAATAATAAGGAAACTAAACATGAGCCCTCATCTTCAGGAGAAAACACTAAATGAATTACAAGTCCTTTTCGACAAAGAAGAAGACCCTAATAAGCTTAACGAAATCATGAACTTAATTTCTAAAAAAGGGATTGCTTCTGATAAAGAAATAAAGGAAAATAATTATGTTACTTTAGAGGAAGATTTATATCAACAAATGGGATTAATGAAGTTAAATGATCTTGACTTTCTACCCATAGAAGTTGTTCAACAAAGGATCGAAAACAAACTAGGTAAAAGTGTTATGGATAATAATGATGTTGGTGAGGAAATTATTAATGAAAATATTAATGTAAACAATGTTATCCAAAGACCTAGGTACCAAGGAGAAGGAAGTTGCACCCGACCAAGATACATACCAGGGAAGACTACCCGGTTTAGTGTCAGGGTTATGCCTAATCATACACCTAAACAAGAAGAAGTGACTCTTGAACCTATAAGTCAAACTGGTTATAAACTTAAGCTAGACGGTGTAAGAGACAGACAAGATGTTTTAGATCAGTGGAAGAAGAGTATGAGTAGTGTACTTAATTTAAACATTGATTGGACTTCAGAAAATTTCTTAAACTACATTGAACATAGTCTTTGTGGTTGTGTAGAAGACTGGTACGATGGAATAGAGGAAGAAGTAAAAACTGCATTAAGAGCTAGCGAATCACCTACTAGAATGTTTAGGCAGTTATGTCAATATATTGAGTCAGAGTTCATTGGTCCTAGAGCCGATCCTAATGAGAAACGAATGGAATATCAAAGAAAGTTAAGTAATTTATCCATCTGTAATATGAAATATGTTGATGATTACATTATGGAATTTGAAACATATTATTATAAAATTGGTGAAAATGAAACAAATCTTGGAATGTTCTATGACAAATTACCCAGTCCTCTTAATGAAGAGATTAGTGAAAAATATCAAGAATGGAGAGAGAGATTTTTAGCTAGGGATGCCCTAGGAAACAGAATTGCTTTCCTTAGAAAATGGATTGAAAAGAAGTGTAGAGAGGTTGCAGGAACTCAACAAATGAAGAGACAATTTCTCACTTGTTGGGATTTCCCAAATAACTATGGATGTGAAAGAAAAAACTATAATAAAAGAAAGAACTATAAGAAAAATAAATTTGACCGATCAAGAGGAGAAACCTATAAGAAGAAGTACTATAAACATAAATATAGAAAACCAAGTAGGTTTTTCAGAAAGGCAACATATTGTCCTGAGAAAAAGAAGACATGTAAGTGTTGGTCTTGTGGAGAATTAGGACATTATGCTAATGAATGTAAGAAAGCTAATCATAAACTAATGGAAGCCTTAGGAAGTTGGGATTACATAGAAATACCATAAGACAAGGCTTTAGAATTAGCTTTAAGCAATAATAAAGGAATAGTAGAAATCGTAGAAGGAGAAAATGAGTATAAGGAAAAACCTGAAGTTAGTGATGAGTTTGAAGATGAAAATTATGAAGAAATAAATGACATGATGGAAGGAGAAGAATTAGAAAATTCAGAATCAGATGACAATGAGGAAGATAAAAGCAAAATGAAAATAGGTCAACTAAAAAGAGTTGAGTATTCATTTGAAGATAATGACCTAGATCAAGTAATCAAAGAAAGCTGGAATTTTCCCTAGATTACTAAAGATAAAATATTTAAAACTTCTTTCTTTAAGACTAGAACTAAATATGTATGTGAAGAAATGGAAGGAAGTATAGTAATCGAAGATTGCGAACAAAAGGCAGCCGAAATTAATATCATAAACTGGAAAAGTATTAAAAAACATAAAGAAAAAGGAAATTATAGCTATATTTGTATTGGTGCAGTACAAGTATACATAACTCCTTTGCAAGATTTTGGCAAAGATTTTAAATGCTCGAGTTTTATTTGTGATATTAGACATAAAGAATTTTATGATCAAATAATTAGTGGTATCACATGTAACTTAAGTCAAGGAACGGTAAGCTATATATGTGAACCTAGATATTATGTGAGCTTAGAGGATTCCCTTGCGTCAAAGTTTTTAGCTATCAAGCTATTAACAGAAGGTGTGAAAATGCATAAAGGAACACGCCCATACAATTAAGATGGAAGGTGGTTTATAAGTTGGTAAACACTATAGACTCATCTTTTAAAAAACAAATAGTCGATGCTCAGAAATATGAGCAAGGAGGAGGTCCTAAGAAGAAAATTACGCCTATAAAGGTAAATCCTAATAAAATTGAAATTGAAAAAACTTGGGAGGAATTCTTTATGAACCCTGCAGTTAGTAATAGATCAAGTAAAATGTTAATTGATGAATCAGGACTACTTCATATTGGAATGAATACAAAACCTAAAATACAGAGAAATCTGAGTCTTAGAACATCAAGTCTAAGTAGACAAAATTCAACAATAATAAGAATGAAAAAACAAGGTGATGAAAAGCCAGAAGAGGATGAAGAAGAAATATTAGTTCTACTAAAGAAACTAAATGAAAAATATGAAAGTAAAAAGGCCTTAAAACAACCAGCAAGACATAGCATTGATATGGGATCATGTTCTAATTTCGAATTAAATGAAGATCCAAATAATCCTATTGATAAAAGGAAGGTAATTGAATATAAAACCAAAACTGTGAGTGAACCAGTATATGAAGATGAAGTTAATATGCAAATGAAAGCTCATAATGAAATATCCAGTACTAACCCTAATAGCATTTATATTCCAATTGATATATGCATTGAGGATTACAATAAATATAAATTATGTGCATATATTGATAGTGGTTGTTCTACATGTTTTGGAAAGAGATCACTATTTCCAGAATTCTTGTGGAAAAAAGCCAAAAATCCTATGCAAGTTAGAATTGCTAATAATAGTGTCATGATGCATACGGAGATAATTGAAGATATAAAGATAGAAATCGGAGGAGTTCAGTGTGTTATTCCTATTTTATGGGCAACTAATCAGCCTAGTCATGATATGACAATAGGAAATAATTTTCAAAGGTTATACTCTCCATGCACTCAAACTATTGATCAAATAATCTTTACTATTAATGGTCATTTTGTTCCCATACAGAAAATAACAAAGGCATATACTCATCAGACAATGGAATTTACGCGCAGCCACCGTGGTGATAGGGTTACTCCTACACAACGAGAGGTTGCACTTAGAATTTTTGAGTGTGATTCATCATTAATATATCAGATAAATAAACAACAAGAAAAACTATGCGAAAAATTATATTCTACAAATCCTTTAGAACATTGGGAAAAGGATAAAGCATTTGCTAAGATAACTCTAACAAATCCTAATAAGATTATTAGAGTGAGACAAAAGGTTTATACTTACCAAGATATTCAGGAGTTTAATGAACAAATAAAAGAATTGCTTAATAAAAAGCTAATTAGGAATAGCAAAAGCCCTCATAATAGTCCATCATTCATGGTAAGAAATCATGCAGAAGAAAAAATAGGTAAAGCTAGAATGGTCATTAATTATAAACAACTAAATGATAATACTGTTTTTGATGGCTATTACATTCCTAATAAAACTGTGTTATTTAATAGAATACAAGGAGCCACATGGTTTTCTAAAATGGATTGTAAGAGTGGCTACTAGCAAATTAAAATGGAAGAAGAAAGCATTCCATTAACTGCATTTAGTGCCCCTCAAGGGCATTATGAATGGCTAGTAATGCCTTTTGGATTAAAAAATTCTCCACAAATATTTCAGAGAAGAATGGATAATATTTTTAGAGAACTTAATCATTGTTGTTTGGTCCATATAGATGATATTCTAATATTTTCAAAAGATTTATAATAACATAAAAATGATCTTAAAGCAGTAACTCAAAAATGTGCAGAGCATGGTATAATCCTTGGAAAAGATAAATGTTTTTATGCTAAACAAGAAATTGAGTTTCTAGGATTAGAAATTAAAGCAGGACAAATAATACTACAAAACATATTCTAGAAAAGATTGAAAAATTTCCCGATAAAATTGAAGATAGAAAACAGCTAGAAAGGTTTACAGGATGTTTAACCTATGCTTCTGATTTTATGGAAAATCTTGCTTTATTAAGAAAGCCATTACAACAAAAACTCAAGAAAGAAATAACTTGGAACTGGAAGGAAAGTGATTCCAAAATTGTTCAAGATTTAAAATCTATGTGTAAAGACCTTCCTGTACTAACACTACCTATTAGTGAAGATGATTTAATCCTTGAAACAGATGCTAGTAATGAGCACTGGAGTGTTGTGTTAAAAATAAAAGAAGGAGAAAGACTATGCAGATATAGCAGTGGAAGTTTTAACAAAGCTGAGTTAAACTATCCTACAATGCAAAAGGAAATCCTTGCAGTTATTAGAGGGATCGAGAAGTTTTTAATCTTCTTAGCCCCTAAACAGTTCTTAATAAGAACAGATTGCAAAGGTATACTCGGTTTTGTTAAAAAGAATTTGTCTAATATGCAAGCGCAAGGGAGACTCCTGCGCTGGCAATTATGGCTTAACCAATTCTCTTTTACTGTTGAACATATACAGGGAACAAAGAATTCTTTGGCAGACAGCTTGACCAGAGAATTAGCTAATGTCGTCTAAGAAGCTCAAGACTACACAAAAACCTCTTGCATACCAACTTCAAAAGATGGATGTTGAGAGGAAAACTCTCATTGATGAGACCGAAAAGGCAATGGAGCGGGTTTCACCCTCCAGTTGGGACTTAATGCAAGGCTTGATGATATCAGCAAAACAACGTTCGCGAGATGGTTTAATTAAGGGTTGCCATCGGGTAGTCCAAAGGTTACTGATGTTCGAAATAGCAATTATGTTATTTCAGCTCATTCCTAATGTACGAAATACAATATTAAACAAAATAAGAGATAACGATTTTAGGACATGGTACGAGTTGGTGGCTACAAGGTCCAATAAATTCTTTGATCTTCGAGATCTATGGGGAGAAAGAGTAGAGTTTCCCAAAAACTCTAAAGTTGCATCATTGCGAATCTACCCATATCCTCTTAATAAAAATGCTCCATTCATTAGTATACAATACAAGGCTTGGGATTAGGAATGGTACATGATTTCTATGAATTCCCTACTCCTAATGACTCTTTCTTTCCAAGACTTACAAAGTTCCAGCAGTATGCATTTAACAAGGTTCGAAAATATTGTGATGACAAAAAAGACGAATTTCGGTTAAGCGTAAAGGTACAATGTGCTAATATCGAAGTTAAATAAGGAAAAGTTAGTCCCCCACATTACTTAATAGTATTTGGGGGAGTGAGGTATTGCAAAGATCCCATACTAATTCGTCAGAAGAATGTTAGAAATCCAACTGAAGCAAGAGCATTGAGATTTTTCTACATTTCACAATATCTTAACGATTTTATAAAAAGGAAAGAAATTCCTCTTGTCATGTTTCATGTTGGTAACTAGGGCTGTACACAATTTGGTCTAGACCGTAACCAAACCAGACCAAACCGCATTTTAGCGGTTTGGTTTGGTTTGCGGTTTGGAAAAGTACGGTTTGGTTTCGATTTTTTGGGAAATACGGTTTGCGGTTTGGTTTGGTTTTTCAAAAATTATAAACCAAACCAAACCGTAAACCAGTAAACCGCATTTTAATATTTAAATAATTTTTAAATAAATTAAAATAGTTATTATATATTATAAAAAAATAAAAAACAAAAAAAAATGAAAAATCATTAGAAGACTATACGGTCAGTATACTACTATACTCTATACTCAATCTCAAATATCAATACTTAAAATTCAATAGGTCATATAACTGTAATGTAGTATGATATAGTATAAATTATTTTTCTGGACAAATGTATTATGCTTTTTTCCATTGTTAATTTGTTATGTATTATTTTTATTATGTGTTATTGTGTTAGCACTTAGCACTTGATTAGTTGGTTGTTATTTTTATTAAAAATTTGTAGTAGAATTTAATTCCTTTGGCTAATTATTTGAACTTTATTATAAATTTATTAATATTTGACAATTTTTAGGAAAAAATGCCGTCTCATCATAAACCGCAAACCAAACCGCACCAAACCGCATTATTACGGTTTGGTTTGGTTTGGTTTCAATACTAATATGGTTTGGTTTGGTTTGGAAAATTGACCAAACCGTATTTTACGGTTTGGTTTGGTTTAGACTCAAACCACACCAAACTAGACCATGTTCACCCCTATTGGTAACACAACAATTGTGGCGCCTAACGAGATGAAAGAATATTTAGTAGATGGCATAAACAACACCAAGTCAATCTACAAATATTTAGAAGATATCGAAAGAGGAAAGTTTCTGTCATTTGAAGGCTATGAGTATCTGTTTGAAGCATTCATGAGTTGGGATGAAGAGTATGCAGCCAAATGTGTCCCAGACCTTTGCAGAGAGAATCCTTTTTACGAAGACAGTAAAGATAGTGAGGGAGGCCTACAAGAAATGATGATGGATGAAATTATGAATGCATGAGCCCACACCAGCAATACTTCAAGACATCTTTACCGTAGCCACGTTTTATTAATTGTTTATGTCTTAAAGTATCTTTGTAAAAAGCAATGGTGTAGAAATTGCTTGCTGAGTCAGGATAAGAATCCTATGTAAGTTTGCTTCCCTATATAAAGGGACTTAGGCCAAGAAGTGAAGACAGAGTTGGAAGAGTTAGCTAGAGAATTACTCTGAAATATTTAGAGAGTCCTCTAGAGAAAAATATTCACCTTAAGAGAAAGATTGGTTCTCCATCTCTCTTAAAGTAGAGAAAACTCTAGTTTAACTTATGTCTGTTTAAGCTTTCAGTTTGTGTGTGTGTGTGTGTGTTGTAATATATGAGGGTTGTAATCTTTTCAAATTAAATAAAAGTTTCGTTCAAGAAGGGAACGTTATCCCCTTGAACCTTATATATCAAATGAGTTATCTTTCTGTTTAGCTCCATCATAAACACAGTAAGGATTGTTTAATTAGAGTTTACGGTCTAAGGTAGGAAACGAATTAGATCTGTTCTGAGCCTGATCTAAGGAAGACAAGGTTGGGGTTAGCTACCTTGGTAAAGCCGGAAGCTCAGAACGCCGGAGGTTCCATTGTCGACTAAGTTCAGGTATTGGTCAAAACTCTCTAGTTAAAGAATTATTATTGCGAAGCATGGTGGACTATTAAACTGTTAAAATAACTTATTTTGATGTATAACTAGTAGAGTCGTGATAACTAGTACCGTTAAAAGTCATTAATCAAGAAACAAGTAAACATCAGTTGATATTAGTATATAAATAGGTTCGTTGGTATTGAAAAGGTGTTAGATAGTATCAAAAGTAATACCATGTAAGAGTTCGTAGGTATCAAAGAAGAATACCATTTAAGCTTAACTTGGTTGATATTGGTATACCATCCACGTTAAAATCAGTACCAAACCACTAAAAACAAAAGTGTCGGTTATAGTACATTTGGTCCCCACTTGGTAGAGACCAAAGTGGTATAAGTAGGTAGAGATTTAGAAATCCTCCTCTCCCCCTAGGCAAAGAGCGCGCTGACGGTCCGCATATATAGGCTTCATAATGTTGCATCATCACTGCAAATCCAAGTCTCTGATTCCAAAGGGTGCGCCAACAATGGAGGAGGGTTCTTCTTTTGCCTCTCCGCCGCCGTCTGATTCCATTCCGACTACCACCGCCACCGCTGCCAGCTTCCTCTCCAACCTCCCTTCTTGTGGCCTCTTCTCTTCTACCGCCGTTTCTTCTTCTAATTTGGTATTATTTCCATGTCCTTCACATTGATTACCCTAATTTTTCAATTTTTATTTTTTTATATTTATTTTTTATTGTTTGGGATTGCATTTTGATTTTGAAGTTTGTAGTGTATTGGATTTGATCACCATTCAGAATAAAAATTTAAATAAATTTAAAATTTGATCACCATTTCGTTTCGTAATCTGGTTAGTTTGCGTCAATTGAAGTTTGTTGATTGCTTGCTATTTTTACATGGAGTTGTGCATTGTCAATGGATTTTCTAGTTGTTGCTGATTATGCCTTGATTTATTGCATTTGATTTTCCAGTTTTGTATGTTGCAATTGGGTTATTCTCTAGGGAATGTATCTTTAAATTTACAAATTTGAGTATTTATAAACTTTTATGATGATAAAGTTGTTTGGTCTTTAAATATATGGCGAACTTGAGAATGTGTGTTGAAAAGTAACTCTTATTCCATCATAGGTATTTTTTGCTTGAAATGATGACATGACAAGATGGTTGGTTCATTTAATAACGAGTCTTGCGGTGCATGCCATCGTTTATGAATTGAATTTTATGCCTTGAAGAAGCTTTATTGGAAATGTTTATTCTATTTTTACTGAGATTCTCAGATTCCACTAAAGTGTTGCTAAGTATTATCATGCATTAGATGTCTTTTGGCACTAATGGCCTGTGAATGTAGATTTAAACATCGACTTGACTGCAAATTATAAGAAGATTTTTGGTATTAGACCCATGTCTGATTTTCAGATGTCATTGCTTTGAGGATATTGTTTTGGTATGTATACTATGACTTGTTGACAAACAGTTAAATGTATTGATAATATCAACTCCAAAGAATATAAATTTTTTCACTTGACCAAAATT